CTTGTTCAATAAGTATTCTAATCGTGTTAATTTGGTCGATGCACGAGTGCCCAGGGCGAAAACCTGCTTGAGTTTTATGAATAAGCTCGTTTAATGTTACGGCGATTCTTTCTAATATTATTTTGTTGAAAATTTGGAAAACTGCTGGTATTAAAGAAATTCCCCTCCAGTTGCTGCATTTCTTTCTATCGCCTTTTTTCGGCAGTTTGACGATGATAGACTCCTTCCATTCGAGAGGGAATGACTCTAGTTCCCAGATTTTCTCAAACAAGGGGAGCAAAAGTTTGGACACAGCATTGGGGTCTGCCTTAAAACACTCTATTGGTAAACAATTATTACCTGGTGCTTTACCACTTTTCATGCTAATGATTACACCTCTTATTTCGTTAACGCTAGGTGCCCTTGTATCTATTTGTCTGTTAGGATTTAGATGTCTTGGTATTGTGAGCTCGCCACTTTCGTTGTGTATGATATTTAGGGTTTTCTCAAAATGTCTTTTCCAAACTTCTGCCTGCTCGTTCTTAGCAAACACCAGCTGTCCGTTTTCATTTTCAATTGGAGCGCTGCTTTGGAAAGATATTCCACCTAGTTGTTTAGTTAACTTAAACAGCTCCTTCATGTCGCCCTTTTCTGATGCTGCTTGCGCTTTCATGCTTAGTTCAACGTAATAGTTTCTCTTGTCGCTTTTGACTGCTTTCTTGATCTGTCTACTGAGACTTCTGTACGTTATGTTGTATTCGGCTTTTTTAAACGGATCTGCCTCGCTTAACATTTTCGTTTTAACTCACCTTCTTTGAGCAATGAGCTCCCAAGAGTTTGCCGACAACCATTCCTTTTGCTCGTTTTTACGGTAGCCTAGTGTGTCCTTGCAGATCTCTTCGAGATTTGTTTTAATATGAAGCCACGTTTCCTCAATAGAAGCATCCTCCATCAAACTGACGTTGTTAATACGTTCGATCATTTCATTCTTTACCGCTCCAACATTAAGCTTTGTGGTATTATACGTGCGCCGTGTATGCTGCGGGTGTTCATACCTATGTTTAGGTATATTAAATTTCAGTTCGGCCACCACTAAATAGTGGTCACTGTCGATATCAGCGCTTCTTTTGTTTCTGACATCACATAGAACTTTACTCCATCGTTTTGAAATGCAGATATGATCAATTTGACTTTCGAAGTTGCCAGCGGGGGACTTCCAAGTGACCTTGTGACACGTTTTATGAGGAAATAGGGATCCTCTAATCCTGAGATCATAATTTATACAAAGTTCCAAAAACAGCTCCCCATTCTCGTCACATGTTTCAATGCCATGAGAACCTCTTACAGTTCGATACTCTGAGTTATTTCCGCATTGAAATCGCTCATAAGAATAATTACATCGGTTCTAGGAATTTCAGAGAGCGTTCTTTCTAGCGCACTGTAAAAAACTTCTTTTTGGTCAAGTGGACTATCTTCTGTTGGAGCATAGCATTGTACTAGAGACATATTGAATTTCTTTGCGCGAAAACGTACTACTATTATTCTTTCGGATATAGCTTTCCAGCATAAGATTGAGTGCTTAACATTTTTTCTTACGTAAACTGCAACGCCTCGGATGTGAGGGTCTTGTTCGTCGGGCATGCCGGAGTACATAAGTACACCTCCCTTTTGGTTTGTGAATTCACCTGTACCATTCCATCTGACTTCGCTAATGCCAATTACGTCTATTTTAAACCTATCGCATTCAGCGGCTAACGTAGCCATTTTTCCTGCTTGAAACAGAGTTCGCACGTTCCATTGTCCAAATCTTGTCCTTTTTACATTCCTTAAGTCGGTATCGTTTTGGTCAGGCCGGTTTCTATTTCTTGTGAATACTTGAATCTAATGTTTTCCAGCCGCCACGAGTGATTAACCCATAGCTGCCCAGATCGGTGGTAGGGCTGCTACCTTTCTTTAATTTCGTCAATCACCATTTGGCCTCCGATCCTGCCATGATGTGAATGTGCAGCTAGCATTTCCTCTAGACAGCAGATGGAAGAGTTCAGATATCCCGCCGAACACTCGGTCGCCAGAGCCTCATTAGTGAAAACAGGGAACACCGCGGGAAGGTTGAGGTTGACGTTAACTCAAGAGAGGCTATTTGAGACGCGTCTTGAGCCTTGTTCCCCTATATTGGTAATGGTAATGGTGTTTAAGGGTTTCGGGTTAGGCTAAAGCCTCTGCACTGCGACTAGTTTGACCTATTGTGCGCCCCTTTGTGTTTAGATATTTAGGAGCTCGAAGAATCGAACCAACTCCTTCAGAAGGAGTTTCCGAAGGTCTTCATCCTCTAGTTGGTATGCACCTAAAATTTTGTTTCTTCTGTGGCTTGTGCATCACAGTTGCTGTGACGGAACCTTACAGTTGTTGAGGTTCCGTAGACTCTTCCTCATCACAGCAGAATCTGCAAATATTGATGTTCGGATATAGCTATTTTGTGTAGGTGTTTGTTACATGCGGCGTGGCCTGTTAGTGCACCAGAGAGTAACTTTAGACTTTTCTTGTTTAGGTTGAGAGCGGTGTTTGCTCTTTTAGCATCAAAATTTAAAATTTTTTTGGAATGATATAGGCCGTCTATTCCATTCCAGTATTCATTAATATTTTGTTGGATCCATTTTTTGGTCTGCTGTTTTATGTTCGTTTTATTGAAACCAAAGGAGGGAGTTTTACCAATGAATGGTTCTTCTGTCCCTTTTTTGGCATAAAGGTCCGCCTTTTCGTTGCGTTCATGTCCTTCGTGTCCGGGTACCCAAATCAGAGAGACATGGTTGTGGGTGGCCTGTTGGTTAAGTGCATTGTTATACTCTATAAGAACTTTTGATGTGAATGTTTAGCTTTTTAGAGCTTTGAGAACTGATTGGCTGTTTAAGAGTATATTAACTTTAACTCTCTTAAGCCCTCTTTTGGATAAGATCTCCACAGTCTCTATTATAGCATAGAGTTCCGCATGGAAAATTGTGGAGTCTGTGCTTATTGTAATTGATTTGTGTACTCTGGGTCCCACTATTCCTGCTCCAACATCTTAAAGCGTTTTGGATCCATCTGTATAATTCTGCGAATCGTCATGTAACAATGTTGGGTTGGCATTCCACTCCTCCCTTGATGGGAAGATGATCCTATAACTCTTGCTGAAATTGAGTACCGGATCTGTGTTGTCAATTGCCTTGGTCATATATATAACATTTTCCACCCTGAGAAGGATTTGTAGATGTCCAGTGAAATTTCCTGGTTTGAATTTTTCTTTCGTGTGTATTGAGAGTGCTTGCATTGCAGCTTCCTCTTGTATTACTAGGTGTAGCGGTGGTGAATTTAGCAGTGCTTTCATGTCAGCAGTTGGGGTAGTTCTCACAGCCCCTGTGATATTTAGGCACGCCAGCCTCTGTAATTTGCTCAGTTTATATATAGCTGTAGTTTGTTTAGTTATTCCCCACCATACCAATGCTCCATATAGTATGATAGTATAACCATTTGGATGTAGATCCAAAAGGCCATTCTGGGCTTAGGCCCCAGGTGGTTGTGGCTGTGATTTTTCTTTGGTTTAGCATATTGCTTACCCATTTTACTATTGCTGGATCTGCTCCTCTATTGGAGAGTGCTAGTTCTATTGTTTTAAAGTTTGCGTTATCGAAGGCCCTCTCAATGTCCATAAATGCTGCTTCCTTTAGATC